TAACAAAAGACAAACCAATGTTATCACAAAATTAATTGGATAATTAAATAATCAGACTAATCATACAAGCCATGTGAGCATAAAATCGTGAAGAGGTCTTATCTACTAACACAAGCATTAAACATATGAGTGACCATAAGAAGATACTAAACTAGGACATTCTGTTTATAATAAAGGAAACAACTAATATCTAAATGAGGCAAAAAAAATTACCACAACATGATTAACAACAAAGCAACAATGTGCACTAAGCATATGAGAAAGACACAACTCAACTATTGAAAGGTAAACTATCCTAATCATGTGATGAGCTAATGCAACATGTGCCAAACACTCATAACACTAACATGAGACAAGTCAAGCATATATGGGCAACACAAGTACAACTATAACACATGGAATATAATAACACATGAAAGATAACTAGCATGACTTGATGTCTAGACTTAGGCATACCACAAATGCAACAGTAAGCTAAACCAGATATGATGCTAAGCATGGATGATCATGACACGAGATGCCACAATATGCTACTAATAAAATACAACTCCTAACTATGAGATTACCTAGTTGATAATAACTAACCTAAAGATCAAACACAATGTTAGCATACAACACTATACCATGCTAGTTATGATAAATAAGCACATGTATGGAAGCATACTAAGCATGTGGGAAAGTAAACAACTAGATCATCTCATCAACCAAATCAACATGTATTATAGAAGCATGAATAATAAGATGACATGTATTTCTAACTGGTACAACCTACAATTACAAGTACATAAGATGCATCACCACTCATGATCTTCTAATACATACTCTCTCTCTCTCTCTCTCTCTCTCTCTCTCTATGCCATCTAGTTATACAATCACGACATCATGGCACGATATTGATCAAGAAAGAAGGACTCCTACTTAACTAAAATATATGAGACCATAAACTAATAACATATATCTACTAAGCAAAGGCAAACCACATGTGGGATCATAAAGTACAAACTAGCAAAGATATAACATGCAGTAGGCATACAACCAATCATGCATTCTATTTTGAGTAAGCACTAACACGGACGACAATCAACTAAGCATGCATAGCTACCGTCCCAGGTAAACAAAATACTTAGAATAATTAACAAGAGGTAATGAACTAAGGTAAATAAACGCACATGACAATCACCAAGATGCAATGAACTAGTTGTATGCATGAGAATAAACTCTATATGGAATTACATATATTAGTTAAGACATTATGCATCCAACCATGCAATCTTGCATAACAACATTTACAAAATAGAGTTAGAGGAAGGTGTTAGCTGCGGCCCATCATAGATAATTAAAAAAAATTGGCATTGTCATGCGTGTGAGACAATACAAATGAATTTGAGAAAAAACAAATTGGCAAGGCCATTCAGTTTTGAAGGAAAAAAAATGTAGGTTGCAAGTCGAGGGAAGAGAGGAGGATGTTGGATAAAGGGAATTTAGCCCGGAGGTTGAGAGGAACAAAATAGTTTGATTTTCTTATGAGAAAATTATAGAAGAAGTGAATTAGACTTTCTAAGAGAAAAATCTAGAGAAGGAATAGAAGATCAAGCAACAATCAAAAGAAGTGCCAAAAAACAAATGTGCATAATTAAATATGCTGAAGCGAGAAAAACAAAACCCAACTAAAAGGGAAGAACAAAACGCAATGTTAAATATAAGTTCGCATTAGATCAAATTAAATCCTCCTAATTAGAAAAGTCCAATTTAAGCTTTGTTAACAAATAAAACAAATGAAATTTTCACGCCCTGATTTTTGGTAAACTTTTTCTTAAAACATTCCGAAAATCGGGATGTTACAATGATGGGAGTATTTTGTGTAATGAAAATGAAGTATGGCCTAACTATATGATTTTGTAGGGATAAGCTTTCTTTGGCTATGCTATTTTGATAGGACATGATTATTTGTAAGTATGCTTCGAAGTATTATTATTTTTATGTTTTATAAGCTTTTATATTGAATCATTTGGATCTGAACAATCATGCCACAATAAAGAAAATTACATTGAGAATTATGCTAGGTAGCATTCCACATCAAAAAGTCTGTTTTTATCATTTACCTACTCGAGGACGAGCAGGAATTAAGCTTGGGGATGCTTGATACGTCTCCAACGTATCTATAATTTTTAATTGTTCCATGCTATTATATTACCCGTTTTCGATATTTATGGGCTTTACTTTACACTTTTATATCATTTTTGGGACTAACCTACTAACCGGAGGCCCAACCCGTATTGCTGTTTTTCTTTTGCCTATTTCAGTATTTTGAAGAAAATGAATACCAAACGGAGTCCAAACGGAATGAAACCTCCGGAGCGTGATTTTTGGAACGAACGTGATCCAGAGGACTTGGAGTGCAAGTTAAGAAGCAATCGAGGCGGCCACGAGGGTGGAGGGCGGCCTGAGGTCGAAGATGATACCCGTGCCTGTGGCCATCATGCCATACTTATCATGTCCCTACTTCTTAGTTTCTTTAGATGACGATGATGTTGTTCCATGTCTTGCAATACTTATGTTCTTGAAGTTTCGACGATGATGATCTTTAGATGATGAACTTGAGTATATTTAGATGATCATGATGATCTTGAGTATCTTTAGATGATGATCTGTCATATTTCTGTGTATATATGCATAATCTCATATTTTGTGTCTTTAAAATATTGTCAAATTGAATGAAAAATAGAAAACAGGGAATACAAAAAAAAATAACAGAACTATGCCGACGGCTATATGCTGACGGTGAAACCAGTAGCCGACAGGTGGCAAGCTATGCCGATGCTTAAGCCATCGGCATAGTCCTTCACCCGTGGACGCCCAGGTGTCGACACGTGGCCATCTAAGCCGACGGCCCCGTCGGCATAGTGGCCCGTGGTTCGGCTGGCGCCGTCAACGGCTGTCCCGTGCAAAACTACGCCGACGGTGACTCTACGCCGACGGCGGTACGAACGTCGTCGGCATAGGACCGGCATATCTATGCCGACGGTCTGACAAGAGTATGCTGACGTAATCTACGCCGACGGGCCTATGCCAACGGCAGCCGTCGGCTTAGATCTACGCTGACGGGAAAGAGCCTATGCCGACGGCCCGTCGGCATAGGCCGTGGAACTGGTAGTGTTTGCGGCTTTGCCCCTACCATGCCGCGCACAGGAGATGCCGCCACTGCCGAGACTGTCAAAGATGACCCCTACCCATGAAAATGAGACCCTCATATTCCTTGCTCCAATCAATGTCAGTGGAGGCCTTTGAAGGATTGGGCATATATGTTACACGTACTCATTCTGCTTCTCTATTTTCATTCCAGAGACCACAATAATTTACTTCGTTATAATATGCTCTCTGTCGCAGCCAAGCATATGACAGCTAACCGTATTCATTTAGGGATTCAATTACCATTAAGCTGATATTGGCAGCCGACAGCAATTTTGTTTTGGTCAGTGAGATGCCGTGTTTATTGTGTGCTGGTGAGCTTCTGGTGTAGTTTCTCTGGCATCTTTGTACTGCAATTTTGCTTCTTCGCTTGTTCCCACCAATCTGGCATCTGTGTATATATGCATAAACTCATATTTTGTGTCTTTAAAATGTTGTCAAATTGAATGAAAAATAGAAAACAGGGAATACAAAAAAAATAACAGAACTATGCCGACGGCTATATGCTGACGGTGAAACCAGTAGCCGACAGGTGGCAAGCTATGCCGATGCTTAAGCCATCGGCATAGTCCTTCACCCGTGGACGCCCAGGTGTCGACACGTGGCCATCTAAGCCGACGGCCCCGTCGGCATAGTGGCCCGTGGTTCGGCTGGCGCCGTCAACGGCCGTCCCGTGCAAAACTACGCCGACGGTGACTCTACGCCGACGGCGGTACGAACGTCGTCGGCATAGGACCGGCATATCTATGCCGACGGTCTGACAAGAGTATGCTGACGTAATCTACGCCGACGGGCCTATGCCAACGGCAGCCGTCGGCTTAGATCTACGCTGACGGGAAAGAGCCTATGCCGACGGCCCGTCGGCATAGGCCGTGGAACTGGTAGTGTTTGCGGCTTTGCCCCTACCATGCCGCGCACAGGAGATGCCGCCACTGCCGAGACTGTCAAAGATGACCCCTACCCATGAAAATGAGACCCTCATATTCCTTGCTCCAATCAATGTCAGTCGAGGCCTTCGAAGGATTGGGCATATATGTTACAGGTACTCATTCTGCTTCTCTATTTTCATTCCAGAGACCACAATAATTTACTTCGTTATAATATGCTCTCTGTCGCGGCCAAGCATATGACAGCTATCCGTATTCATTTAGGGATTCAATTACCATTAAGCTGATATTGGCAGCCGGCTGCAATTTTGTTTTGGTCAGTGAGATGCCGTGTTTGCTGTGTGCTGGTGAGCTTCTGGTGTAGTTTCTCTGGCATCTTTGTACTGCAATTTTGCTTCTCGCTTGTTCCCATCGATCTGGCTAGCAAAGACTTCTCAACGCCACCTTAGATGGAGATGGGGCAGAATGTGTTGACTGACTAGTCAGGTCTCTGCAAGTCACAGTCACAAGAAACGTAGATTTGCATTCTAATGGCCATCTCACTTTCACTCAAGGCCGCCTTCGATGGGCCAGAATGTGTTGACTGACTCGTTGGGTCTCCGGCAGTCACAATCACAAGAAAAGTAGCTGTGCATCCAGTGGCCATCTCACTTTCAGCTCGCATCGAGCCAACAACAGTCACATCTACCGGAGTCCTGGATGCCTACTTTTCTTGTGGCTGTGCCCGTATTTGTGGGTACACATCGCTCTCTGTTGCATCTTCTTAGCCGGGTCAAGTGTGGTCATAATTATGCAGTAGCAAGGCCTCCCCGAGACATACATCCGCCATACAACCTTAAACTCAATTCCCATCTACTTGTGACCTGAATTTCACCAGTGAAGTTCAGAGCTGTGCCAGGCCTGCAGATCGTGGGCATCCTGCTGATGATGTATGCAGCACTCTCCCTGTTGATACTTGGGTCGCTGGGGACAAAGCTAATTGGGCTAGCATCTGGAGCTGTAACAAGCCACAACCCCGGAGAAAACTGGGTGCAGCCGTCAGGCGCCACCCTTGATGGCTGCCCTACAAGCTGTGGCAATCTGAGCTTCAACTACCCCTTCGGCATCGGATCCAGGTGCTCCCGTGGGCCTGATTTCGACCTCACTTGCAACGACACCACCGTTGATTCCCCCAGACTCTTCTTCCGCGACGGCATCACTGAGGTTATTGACAACATCGATGTTCTTACTGATGGGAATTACTATGGGCCTCACACCTTAATCAGGGCCTCCTTCTTTCGTACCATTCCTATGAAATCTAGTGCCAGTGTCTACCACATGCCTTTTAAACCGCCTGGGAGTTACTTCACCATTGATAGTTCCACCATTCTGAACATCACTGGTTGCGATCTTGATGTGTATTTGGTCGATGATGACAAACTCAGGACCAAGTGGGTTTGCAGAATTGTGTGCCCTGACCAAGGAATCACAGAAATGGTGGCTATGCACAACTGTAACGGCTTCGGATGTTGCCGTGTTGAGCTGGTAACTCCTGACGCTGATGGTTTTCACTTCAAATTTTTCCGCCTCCACAGGAAAAGCAACACCGGAGCAAGCTCTAAGGAGACCTCTCGGTTGTGGGATAGAATCAGCATAACTACCGATGGGGGCTTTTGGGTCTCATGGCGTATAAGGGATCAACCAACCTGTGTTGCTGCCATGCGAAACAGGAGCACCTATGCATGTGTGAGCAAGCATACCAAGTGTCGTGACAGTAGTTGTAGCAAAGATGTCAAGTGCGTTGACGGAGGCATGCCATCAAGAGATGGCTATGAATGCAACTGCATTAATGGCTATCCAGGCAACCCCTACATTCCAGATGGCTGCTCCAACGACAAAGGTGACTTACTTCTGTTATAAGCGACCAAACGCACAACTGTTGCTCTATATATTTTTGGGCTTTGGAACTTGAGTACATGATTGCATCCTTACAATTTATTGTTCAAAGTAGGTTATAATCCATTTCCAAGCAGAACTAATTGTACAAGTCAGTGCGGTAACATTATTGTACAATTCCCATTCGGCTTAGAAGATGGCTGCTTTGCAAGAGAAGAGTTTCACCTCAATTGCACAAATATGACGTCATCTGCTGTCCTAAAGATGTCTGATTCTCAGGTAATCGGCATGAATGTTACTGAAGGGACCATTAAGCTCACGGAACGTGAAGCAGTATACGCCATATTTGGAGGAGGGCGCAATCTTTTTGTTGGTTTTGAGCTGTCTGTGAAATGGGCTGCTGCTAATCTAAGTGGTCTAGAGGCCCAACAGAATAGATCTGGATATGCTTGTGTGAGTATGAACAGCAAGTGTGTAGCGGTCAACACTGCAGACAACTACATTGGTTACCGCTGCATATGCTCAGAAGGCTTCCAAGGGAATCCATACATTCAAAGTGGCTGTCAAGGTAATCACACACAGTCACAATCTTTCTCTCATTGCCATCTCGTTGAGGCCCCTGGTCTTCACTACATGCCCGAATTCATTTTACATTGATAAAGTGGCTGTCAAGGAAAACAAATTTCATTTTTTACATTGTTTCTTAACCTGAATTCAATTGCTAGGCAATTGTCCTTCTGTTGTTACCTATGGCATGTTTTCGCTTTGCACAAATACTGAAGTGGTACTGAAATTGATTTGCATTACAGAATGGGCAGGTCCCTAAACTTGTCATAAAGTAACAAATCTCTCAAGCTGAAACAGATGCCTGAGGTGTCACTTACACTTTTAATATAGCTAAATTCAGAGCTTACACTGAAACGAAGGTATTTACAGTGATATTGCTCATTATGTGACCCAAAATTGCTGAATTAGTCATCTGCCTAATTAATGATTGATAGTAGTTTATCACATCTCTATTCGATTGGCATGCCACCACCTTTAGCTAACTATTTAAATTTATCAGCATCAGTATTTCATTTCATGCCTATTTTACCAGTATTTGAAATTTTACCTATTTCAGTGCTGTAGTGGTCACAGTGGTGTAGTTTGCATATATTTGGCACTCCATTAGCGACTTGTCACACGTTTATGGACCTTTCAAGTTTGCTCAGACCTGAGTAATACATTACTGCGATACTATAGGCCTTTGATACAGTGAATGTTTTAGGAAGCCATGGCTGTGAATGATGAAGGTGCTCATGACGTAATTGTAGGAAAAGCCACATTAAGTTTACTTTAATGTGTAAGAAATAACATGCTTTGGACTGTGCAGCCGAAGGAACAAACCAAGCTGGCAAAAAAAAACGAATATTAGAATCAATAGATTGTCAATTTAGAAAATCCACTCAGTCATGTTCGCCACCCTTAGACATGTGCCTGACTATCCAGTGGCGCAAGGAGGACTTTTTCCTCTAATGTAAGAGGTTTCTTTTTGAATTCAGACTAGTCACCGAATTTACGGATTCTATCCTAGGTGGATTAGGTTGGTTTTGGATGCCGTAATCTGTATAATGAGGCATCAGCTACTGAATGGAGCATACAAGAAGTTATAGTTAATTTCTCTTCGTCTGCTCTCTTCTGTGCCCTGGACACCGCCGCCGTCCCCATTGCCCCAATCCACGGGTCACTACATGCATAGATGTTCTTCTTTTCAATTGGAAATAACAACCATGTTTCTTGTAACTATGTTCATAGTAGTATGATAATAAAAATGGGACTGTTTGCTCCATAAAGTTGCAGCTTTGTATTCCTGGAAAATACGATTCAGTATTAGTGTTGTGATGATTCATCCGAAAAAGGGTCGACCAGGAAGCGTACACAAAACGCAGAAGAGAAAAACAAGAGCCTGCGGGCAGATTAGAAAAATAGAAAGAAAAAACAGAGAAGAAGTAAACGGTGCAACACAAAAGTACATCGTCATCTCTAGAGAGAAAAGCCGACGCCGCCACTTCTCCCTTAATAATGGCAGGCGTACCTGCAGGAAAAAACAACCTGTACTAAAAAAAACATGTCAATTGTGCATATTATTAGACCGTGAAAATACTTGTCTGCATCTCGTTTTTTTTTAAATCATTCTTGTAGGTTTCATTTAATCAGATGATGTAACGTATTCAATGTTATACATTGTGTTGATGCTTCTTGCCTACCTCTTGTTTATTTCAGATGTTGATGAATGTCGTGAACCAAACATTTGTAAGGGAATCTGCCATAATACCGAAGGAAGCTTCAATTGTACTAGTTGTCCTCGGAAAACTGAATATGATGCAGGAAAAATGAGGTGTACTACAACGAAACAACAGACTCTGATTTTAGGTAAGAGTGTTGTTATATTTATGAAGTGTGAAAGACGAGGTAGAAGAGAAGAGACTTAAAAAGCTTAGTGCCTGCAGGTATTATTATTGGGTTGTCTTGTGGCTTCAGCATTCTATTTTTGAGCTTTACTACACTATTTCTCGTGAGAAGACAGAAAACATATGTTAAAAAACAAATACGGAAGAAATGTTTCAGGAAGAACCAAGGTCTTCTTCTTGAAATGTTGATGTCATCAGATGGAACTACTGAAAATGACAAATCAAGGATTTTCTTGTTAGAAGAACTAGAAAAAGCGACAAACAACTTTGATCCTACATGTGTCATCGGACGTGGGGGCCATGGCATTGTTTACAAAGGCATATTATCTGATCAACGCGTCGTTGCAATAAAAAAGGCTATGGTCATTGAGCAGTGTGAGATTAGTCAATTCATCAATGAGGTCGCAATCCTCACTCAGATAAATCACAGAAATATTGTAAAGCTCTTTGGATGTTGTCTTGAAACTGAGGTCCCATTGTTGGTGTATGACTATGTATCCAGTGGCTCACTGTCTCAAGTTCTTCATGCTGATTCAAGTGATGGTTTTTCTCTGTCTTGGGGTGACTACTTAAGGATTGCCCTGGAGACAGCTAGAGCTCTATCTTATCTCCACTCTTCAGCTTCAATATCAATCTTCCATCGTGATGTGAAGTCCTCAAATATTCTCCTGGACGAGAACTACACAGCTAAAGTTTCAGATTTTGGTGCTTCTAGACAGGTTCCAATTGATCAAACACACATTTTTACCAATGTACAAGGTACATTTGGGTACTTAGATCCAGAGTATTTCCATACCAGACAGCTGAACGGGAAGAGCGACGTGTACAGTTATGGTGTGGTACTAGTGGAGTTGCTTCTCAGAATGAAGCCTATTTTCACAAGTGAATCGGGCACAACCCAGAACTTGTCAAATTATTTCCTTCAGAAGTTGAAGGATGGAAAAATCACAAGTATTGTTAGTTCTCAAGTCCTTGAGGAAGCAACTGAGGAAGAGATCAGGAGTGTTGCCTCTCTCGCAGAGGCGTGCTTAAGGCTACACGGTGAAGAAAGACCCACGATGAAACAAGTGGAGATGGAGATGCAGACTCTGCGAACGAAACGGGAGAGCTCATGTCAAGCAAGTCCGAGAAATGAAGGACGGACACAACCAGGATCACTAACTCGAAGAAGTTCTAAAGCTGCTCGCCAATCATCTGCTATGATATTTGGTGAGAGAATCAATTTATGGTCAGGAGACAGCCAGCAATGCTATAGCTTGGAGCAGGAGTTCATGTCATCTGCTACTATACCGCGGTAGGTATGTCCAGTAAGTTTATAATAATGGACGGCTATGTCTTGAATGATTATAGGTAAGTAGTGTTGTAAATCAAGTTACGCCCAGTTAATTATGATCATCATGATTGTATAAGCTTTTGATTGTAATAATGCTACTATATTTGTAGTTATGTAAACTACAATTCTTATCTTAGAGATGTGGATTGAGTTGAACTCCTGCAGTACCACTTGCCTATTAGACAATTATTATCTTTGTGGGTGGAAGGAGGAACCATGGGCTGCAGTTTTGTTTGCTATGGTCCAAGATGGCCATAGTGAGGAACGGAGGGCGTGCCCCTCCACTGCCCGGCGGCAGAGATCCACCGAGGCGTCGTCTTCTTCTGGTTCCTCCTTCCATCCACAAATTGCTTGCTCTGTTCCAGCCAGCAGTCATACCCTTCACTACCGGAACAGGGCTCGGTGCCGACGGCCGAATATATGCCGACGACCACCATCGGCCTTCTCCAGGCTATGCCGACACTTGACCCCGGGCCGTCGGCGTACAACAGCCGTCGAGCTATCACAGGATACGCCGACGGCCCCCGTCAGCAAAGAACAGCCGTCGGCTTAGCCCGGGCTACACCTATAGCTACCGTCAGCATAACTGCGGGCCCGGCGACTACGCACGCGACGGGCGGCTACCGGCATCGGATCTATGCCGACAATGGTGACGGGCGGCCGTCGGCATAGATACGGGTGCCACGTCATCGATCCAAAGCGCACCGACCAAGGCTATGCCGACGGCTGTCATTGGCATAGATGACACGTCGTCGATCCGCGGTGCGCCGTCCATAGTCGTCGGCATGCCTATATTTTTTTTGCATTTTTTGCATAGGTATATTTTTATGTTTTTTACGTATTATTTGACTAACTTAAATGTAGCATGTGTTAATATGAGCATACATACATTATTTTTCGGTTCTATACGAAGGGGTGTGAACCCCCCCCCCCACGGACGGCGCCGCCGCCGGCCGGCACCTGGAGGGGGGGAAATAGCCGTATCCAAAGTGTTTGGCCCGCACACGGAGAGGATCTTGCTGTGGGTTTGGCCCCGATGTTGCTCCAAAGTGTTCCTACGGGCTGACCTAACACAACCAGGTAGAGAGGTCCACTGGTCAAAGCCTGTCCACGGAAAGTTAAAGGGCTAGATCTCCTGGTAAACCGCTCCAGGGTTAGGTGGGACGGGGGACCTGGGGGGGTAGCAATGCCACCGGAG